TTTCTGGCTTATTTTGCTGAGCATGATCCCTTCCAAGCGCCATCCATGTTGCTGCAAATTGCATGTGTTTATCTTTTTTGAATGCTGAGTAATATTCCATGGTATATATGTACCATATCTTCTTGATCCAGTCATATTTTTGGGCATTTGGGCTGTTTCCAAAGCTTAGCTATTGTTAATAGTGCTGCTATAAACATAGGGGTGCAGGTGTTCTTTGGAATTGATGTTTCTGTGTCCTTTGGGTAAATACCTAGGAGTGGAATTGCTGGATCATATGGAAGCTCTATGTTTAGTAGGTCCAGAAATTCTTCCACACAACTCTCCATAGTGGTTGGATCAGTTTGCACTCCCACCAGCAGTGCAGGAGAGTTCCTTTTTCTCCACACCTCGCCAACATTTGTTGTTGCTAGTTTTTTTTAATATGTGCCATTCTCACTGGTGTAAGATGGTATCTCATGGTAGTTTTTGATTCGCATTTCCCTGATTACAAGTGATGTTGAACATTTTTTCATATGCCTGTTGGCCATTTGCATTTCCTCTTCAGAGAAGTTTCTTTTTAGCTCTTCTGCCCATTTTTTCACTGGATTATTTTCTTTGTTGTTGTTGAGTCTCATCAGCTCTTTGTAGATTTTTTGTGATCAGTCCTTTATCATTAGTGTTGTGTGCAAAAATGTTCTCCCAGTTGGTGGGGTTTTCTCTTTGTTTTTGTTATTGTCCTCTTTTGCTGTGCAGAAGCTCTTTAATTTGATGTAGTCCCAGCTGTTTATCTTTGCCTTCATTATCACTGCTTTGGGTGATGTGTCTGTAAAGATGTCTTTGATGTGCATATCACGTAGTGTTTCGCCTATATTTCCTTTTATGTATTTTATGGTTTCAGGTCTTATGTCTAGTTCTGTAATCCATTTTGAGTTGATTTTTGTGTATGGTGTGAGGTAGTGGTCAAGCTTCATTCTTTTGCATGTAGCGACCCAGTTTTCCCAGCACCATTTATTGAACAAAACTTTCTTTGCTCCAATGCATAGTCTTTGCTCTTTGTCAAAGATTAGTTGACCATAAATCTGTGGGTTTATTTCTGGATTTTCTATTCGATTCCATTGGTCTGTATGTTCTTGTTCAATACCGTGCAGTTTTGATGATTATGGCTTTGTAGTATAGTTTGAAGTCTGAGAGTGTGATGCCTCCATTCCCTTCTTTTTTTTTCAGGAGAGCTTTTGGATATTCGAGGTTTTTGGTGATTCTATAGGAATTCATCAATAGTTGTTCTATTTCTTTGAAGAATGACATTGAGATTTTGATTGGAATAGCATTGAATCTGTATATTGCTTTGGTAGGATGGCCATTTTAATAATGTTTATTCTTCCAATCCATGAGCAGGGGATGTCTTTCTATTTCTTTGTGTCTTCTTCTATTTCTTTTAACAGTGTTTTATAGTTTTCTTTGTATAGGGGCACATTAATTTCTATTATCTATGCTGCACTTTTTCATTAACACACTCTTTTATTACAATAAACAAAACTAAAGATGGTGTTGGTTGTTTGGCTCTAGGCTGCAGTCATTTCACCAAATATCTGAAAGACAAATGGAGCAGATTATTGTCGTAATCATACTTAGCTATTTGAGTGTTTTTAAATTCTCACTTATTTTGAACAATAATGTATTTGTGTGTGTCTAAACTGATGAATGGGGGCCTCCCCGGTGGCACAGTGGTTGAGCGCTGGGTTGCGAAGCTGCCCACAGCCTCTGCGGCGCCAGGATCCCCGGCTGCTTCCCGGCCACTGGAGGAGGGTCCCACATGGCGCACAGACCTCTCCTGCGCCTGCTGCTCCCCTCAGCAGTGTGTTTCAGTCCTTCTGCCTGCTCTGCTCCCCGTTCTGGCTCTGGTGAATTCTCTCACCCTCCCGCGCTTCTGACTGTACCCAGTGCTTGTATTAAACAAAACAACAAACAAACAAATAAATAAAAAACATGCCTCTAAAAAAAAAAAAGAATTTAAACTGATGAATGGATTATAATCTTAATGATGAAATAGTAGAAGTTAAGTAAGGTGTCTTCTCTGTCTATGTAATGTGGCTTCTCACAAATTACTTCAATTACAGATGTCAACCGTTCTGCATTCCACACTTATCAAGAAGTGGTTTGCCAAGAAATCCTTAGCTTGTCTCTATACTGACCCAGATGTTGGAAAATATACATGTCCAACGTATCTCATCCAAAACACAATCTCCACATACAGTGTGTCTACACAATTATTCCAGACGTGAAGCAGGTATATGATCTATCTTTCAGTAACAACAGTTGAAAAAGTTAGCTTGTATTTATACTTAATTGTTTGCATAATGTTTACCATGTTTTTGAATAATAGAAATAGCCTGTATTGAATAGCAATTAGAATATTAAAATATGTAGGATTTTAATGTAAAGTGAGGCAGGTAAAAATCTGTTCTTTCCTTGTTGTCACTTTCTGTTATTTGAAAATTTAGACATTACTTTAAAATGGGGCCTCCCTGATGGTGCAGGGGTTAAAGACAGCGCTATCAAGCTATCAGCAGCCACTGCAGCACGAGTTTGATCACCTGCCAGCCAGGGAGCAACCCACATGGCACAGCAGACCTCTCCTGTCTCGCCCGTTGCTCCCCTCAGCTGTGTGTATTTCAGTACAACTGCCTGTTCTGCTTCCCACTCTGTCTTTGGTGAATCCTCTCATCCCCTGCACCCCCATATATCTGGTTTAACCCCAGTTTTTGTATGCATGTATAAATAAATCTTTTTTAAAAAAGGCTCTTTTAAAATGATCTCATATTTATGATCTTATATCTGTTAATAGGATAAAATAGAGATATTAAGTTTTTATTTATTTAATTGTATATCCAGAAATATGTTTTCTTCTTATAGTAATTTATAAAGAATAGATGATAGATAACTTTCATATATATATTATATGTACATACATAACTTCTTTCATAGATAATATATTCTGCTAGTAGGTGAAAGTATTAAAGTGACTGATTTACTAATTAGAATGAAAATTTCATTTATAACTTTAGTTGCTTCATAATAGGCTTCATAGTGTATTGACATGTGAACATTCTTTTGTAGAAATTGAGATTTCATTAGACTGTATACACAAATGCAAAATAGAGGAACAGGTTTTTATTACTTAGAAGATAAGTTGGAGGAAAAAATAAAGGAGTCTGATCCTTCTCAAATTTATGAAGTTGGAATTCAAACAGTACTAAAGGAGTTATGAATAAAAACAAATTGGCAGTAAAAAA